CCACTCCAGTATGGAGAATTATCAGACGCATTTGATGGAGGTGAAGATCATGAGTCACCTTGGAATGCACTTGAATGTCGTCAATTTCCTTGGAGCATGTACCAAAGGTTTGGCACATGGTGAGTACATTCGTCATATCTTGTAGGGTCGGTCAATGGCATGCAAGTTCGGCAGAGGATCATACTGTACTAGCGAGTTTGTTTGCCCTTCGGGCAAACGAACTCGCTATAGTCGCGCCTTCGGCGCTCTATTACCTTGGATAGTGATTAATTCATTCATTTTTTGCTAAATGGGAAGCACGTATTTAAAGTACGTCCCCATTGAAATACGTTACATATTTGGAGGAAAGTATTGATTTTTATCAAAATCATTGCTTCTATGATTCTATGTGTGGCAAACTTAAAATCTTTTCATGAGTCCCTTTTCGCAAGGGTGGAGAATACATTTTGAAATACTTCCTTCCAATAATCTACGCTAAGGAGACATATTTCAAAAGTATGATTTTTACTCTACTCAGCCATCAAACATGTACTTCTGAGGGAAGATTAAATTTTCTTTTTCTGTTTGGTTGAATCAAAAAAAAATCAGGAAAATGGGACAGAATAGAGTGCAGTAATGTGTTTTAACAAAATATTTTTTATTTTGAAATGTAGACTCAGGGAACTCCATGCCACCCAGTTTCAGCCTTAAACGTTTACCCTTTTCGCTGGCGGAAAAAAATATCTTTGGAATGCGACCCACCCAAAAGGTATGCTCGGAGGGGATGCCCCATGAAAGCTGAATACTCCCTCAACTCAGTAATATCATGTCACTTGTACGTGTGCCAAGTTTCACCTTTCCATTTCTGTCCAATTCGCCACAACAATTTCTTTTCTCAAAACATCGCCCCTCGAAAAAATTCCCGCGGGGATGTATCGAGACTTAACATGTTTATTTAACTCCTTGATTCAGGTGTCACATTCATGCAAAGTTTCAGCTTTCCATGTTCATCAGTTTAACTGATGCAAAAAAAATTCGTTGAAAACATCTCCCTTTGAACTTTGTGCACCCAGGGCATTTACTTCTAAATTATGACGTTTTCTGCAGCATCCCAATAGGTAGTTATGTACAAAGTTTCATCTTTCCACCCTAGCTCAATACGCCAGGACAAAAAATACTTGGAAACGTCTGCTCACAAATACATGCCCGCAAGGCATGAATCTAAAAATTTGCATTTTTCCTAAACTCATCGTCTCGGTAGACACGGCCATTCCAAGTTCAGCTCTCCATGTCTCTCCGTTTCACTCGAGCAAATATAATGTTATGGAGGGGGAATGAATAACGGGACATGGAAGGCAAAAAAAGCCAAAAGAAAGCCAAGGAATGGCCGGGAATTGAACATTGACCTCCCGATTGCCAGTTAGAGTTGCTACTACTACACCACCGAACCCAGGACATCCAGTTGTCTCTCTGAATGCCATTATCATCTGTCACAAAATATACTTAAGAAAAACGTTTCCCCCCAAAATTTGTACCCCCAGGGCACGTAAAACGCAGTTTTATTTTTCTTTGCGATTTTAGTGCGTAGGTGGGGGAAGTCTGTTGAACTTCGGCCAGTTCTTCGGGTCCTGAATGGCATAATGGTGATTTATGGGGTTGTGCGTGGAAAAGGTTGGGAAGTTCTGACCTAAGGGGGTGTGTATTTTAAAAGAACAAGACATGACTTCCTCTGATATAAAATACATGATTTGAAGTTCATGCAAAATCAGCACCACAACATCCATATGAAATTTTAGCTCACTCTAGAGTGTCTATAATTCCAAGAGCCTTACTAGATGGATCCCATGTTCCCAGCACGCAACAAATGCCAACAAGTACCTGCTTTCCTGGTATAGTATGACGCCTTTCTCCTCCCTTTCCTCTTTTCTTTGTGCAATTTATGAACATATTTTAGGAAAACATGGAAGTATGATATTATTATTAAAATATATGACTCAGAGAATGATTAAATGTTGAGGTATGGAAATACAGGAATGTACGGGAGTAAGGAAGTGTGAAATGCAGGACTTCTTAATATTCAAACATTTTTCTTCTACATAAAGTACCTTTACGTCCTGTTTATTATGTCAGGGTTCTGAGCTGGGTGCAAAGGAGTGGAGTAGCGGGTACTCTTGTGTATTTGTAAGGAAGAGTACTTGTGGACTTTTCTGAGTATTCTAACGAACATTCTAACTTTCTCGTAAAATCTGGTGGTTTACTAGTGATAAAAATTGACATGAATTTAAAAAAAAAATTAACAAACACTTTATATGAAATGGATATAAACATGCTGCTTCGGATACAAAACGGGAATGTCAAATCCATTTAAAATTCTAGTCAGTTTTACATCACTGTTTGCGTATCACATTGGTGACATTTCTGCAAACATGTTGA